AAGAAAGAAAGAAAGAAAGAAAGAAAGAAAGAAAGAAAGAAAGAAAGAAAGAAAGAAAGAAAGAAAGAAACTGCTGTGCAGCCTGTGTTCACCAGGACTGGGGAACTCTTTGAAGAACCACCGTACGTCCGTGCGTTTTCTTCTTCCATCAAGGGAAAATGTCTTCAGGACCTCACAGACTCTCCAGGACAGAGATTCAGGAAACTGGGTGCTCCTGACTCTGGAGCTTCCCTTGTCTACTTGCCTCCTGTTAACTACACTTGCCCTTCAAATGGATCTACTGGCTTTGAAATTCCTAGGCTAATGGAATCTCTTATCATGTTCTTGTCTCTTTTTCATTATAAAAGTCAATGATATCTTTTGGTAAATTTCATCTTACGGAAAAGGGATGATCTGGAACCTGGAAAAGCTGTGGCTGCCGAAGAAGCTCCTATTGGGTGCCATCAACTGTTGCTCCAAACACTTCTCAACCAGCATTACATACCGGCTTCCCTCAGAGAGCTTTGAAAAATGCTCAGATCAAGTCCCTGTAAAATACTCAGTCTGTCTTGATGTGAAACCAAAGCAACCCCCCTTTTTAAAAGCCTCATGAGTGATGCATCTGATGCTGGAAAGATGGGCCTGTACCTGAGAAGTGGCATCAAGGAAACCCCAGTAAAGCCGATTTCCAGGAGGACCATGAATCTGATGGACTTGCTACAAATCCACCAGCAGCTCTCTACAATGAGATGCATGCAATTAACTGACTCAGGCAAATGTTTAAAGTAACAGGCTCTTAGTTTTCACATCAAGTGATGATACCTCACACGACAGTTGTAAAGTTTAAGCAAGAAAATATATGTGAAATAGTAAGTAAGTTTTGCATCCGTTCCATGATATGCATCTGCTCACATCTGTCAGCCTTACTACCTAGCAGAAGTCCTTAGTGCAAAACCACATCCTAGTCATGATTTTAAAAAAGAATAAATACTATATGACTAACAATATTTACTAAGCCTCTTCTAGTTTCAAGAATCATGCTCAGAATATAATGGTTTGTCTCCTCGCTGCTTCAGTGTGTTGGTTCATTTCCTGTCTAGACAAATTAAATGCAAATACCAGTTGCTTGCAGGAATACACCAAGGGCCTTGGTTCTTGATAGAGCTCAACAATTAAATTCCAAGACGTAATTCTACTGCATCAGGTGAAAACCCTACATAACTTTCTTAAACTAACCATAAAATGTATAGCATTTGGGGTAATTTCATGGTCAAGCACATTTGGGAAATATGGAATTAGAAATGAGGGGAAAATGTGAAAACCGAGTAGGCAAGGAACTCAATTCTAGTAAGAAGCAGAAAACAGCCTTTCAGCATCGATGTAGCAAGTGTCTCTGAGACTCACCAAGACCAATACATCTGAGGCTTTTTTAACAAAACAAGTATAGTGACTGACTTCCAGTACCTGAGTGTGTGTATGTGAGATCTAAGAAAGTTTTTATTACCAAGAATGGTCAAAAAGCAGTAGCAAGTAGTCTGGAATTTCCCAGCACACCTCACTCTTCCCACAGCTCCCTTCTGTTTGCGTACAAATGTCCAACATCACTTTACTACAAGGCAGCAGCATCTTGTGTGGAACAGATGGCTCAAGGCAGATTCGGGATGAACCACAGACATGACAAGCTAAGAATCTGCCTCTCTAATTAACAGTAAAGCTTGCCCTACCTTGGTTGGTACTAGGGAAATCAGCAAAGTAAACTGCTTTGCAAGAATACAGAGGCAATGTCAAAAAATTGTAAAGTATTGGTGATGAAAGAGTCAAGAAACGTTTCACGCTTCTTTGATGTTCTAAAACAAAGCCTGCCTGTTCTAGCAAGGGCAGCTAACAGAGTGGCCTAAGTGATCTCCTTATAAGACCAACACCACTCAGACTGGTTTTCTGTGGTTGTTTAATCTCAACAGCAGTTGTTCTTTAGGCATTCTATGAAAGACATCAGAAAAGATAAAGGCTCTTTGTCTTCCTGGACCAGGTGTCAGGGCAATTTTATCTTGCCACAGAAGTAATCCAACCAGCTACCATTGTCAGACTTATGACTCCTTCCTGGGCAGTTAAGAAGTCCTTATGGATGAATCATTTAACCGTAAATGAAACTTTAGCTCTTATTACCTTTGAGGGATATGATCTAGGTTATGGGATCATAAATAACTGGTTATATTAAAAGACCTAAAAATGATATATCACTTCATTATAACCAAGGAAGTCTCTCCCACAGACACCAGACTACAGTTTGACAGGTCAGAGAAGGAAGAAGCCTAAGCTTTGTGTATTTAAGGGATGCTCACTCCTGCTCCAGGTCTCCTACTCAATAAAAGTGGTTCTGACGACAGCAAAGAACAAAGAAAACTTGTCCCTGATGTTGATGAGCAAGTCAAGGGCTCCAAGTAATATCAAAACATACGTGCTAGTTGATCTTCAACATTCACCCAAGGAAATGGTTTAAGCAAATCTGAGCAATTGTGTTAGTTAGTGAATAAAATCTGTCATTCTATTTCACAGGACTCTGACAATAAAAGATCATTCAGACATAAAAAGACAATTAAGAAAGAAAGTTAGCAAAAAGGAAGGAAGGAAGGAAGGAAGGAAGGAAGGAAGGAAGGAAGGAAGGAAGGAAGGAAGGAAGGAAGG